ATGCATTAAATGCAACAAGTTACCTCATCTTCCCCTTCTCTCTGGAGCCAATGCCTTTTATTTATTACCATCTAGGTTTAAAATAGACAAAATAACAGAATTAGGACAAGTTAGTACAGAAAAACATAATTCCTGGAAGGTACTGGGAAATCAAAGGTGGATTATAACAGTGTAAAAGCTTCCACTGGAGGATTATACCTTTTATGCCTAAAAACATGCATTTGTAGATGTGAATGACATCGTCTCTGTGGCAACATGCTGTGTAAACTCATATCCCTGAGCTCTCCGAAACATCAGGCAGTGACTAAAAAAGGTCATCCTCATCATTTGCTGATTAGAGAAAAGGCACAGAGCTGAACAAAGCAACAGGGACACGTAATGAAGGCTTCAACGCGCAACAAAAGCTGCACAACATTGTTGATGGGATGTGTTGGGCCGCTGGGCAGTGCTCCAGTTTTCGGGGATAATTAGTCCATTTATAATAGTGGCAGAACTGAGTGTAATTCATTTTCTGTGCTTAGAGGTGTCGTTTTTTAACAAAACTGCAGCCATGTAAATAAATACATCAGAGGCTCTTCAAAACCAGACGGTCGTGATTACATCTCATAAACCTGGTGATCCCGTTTTTCAAATTCTGACTCTGGTAATTGATGTAAATGTCACTTTCAACATCAGCGGATTACACAAAAATGCGTCGCTGACCTTTCTTTGACTCCATTCCCTACAGATGTTTACACCATTTTTTTCCTCCCAATAATAGTACCAATACCTAGACTTGGCCAATATAGAGGATAGCTTGTTAATGCCAGTACTCATATAGGTATTGGAATCAGTATTTGGATGAATTTGGTATTGTATGGTTTGGTACAACATCTTTAATCTGCATGCATGTCAGTGTAAAAAGTCCTTAAAAAAAAAGCCCTTGCCATCTGCTGCCACCACTTTGACCGGGGCGTCCTTGACACCTTGGCAACTCTGCTGCAAAAGCAAACCATAATAATGCTTAAAATCACTTCGAATGTGTAAAATGGGATGACATGGCTTCACCAAACAAGTCCATTCTCCATGAGAATTAGCTCTAATTCGCCCTACAGCGACGATCCCCTTGAAGCAAACAACAAATAAATCACTCCTTGAGGGCTAATGGCTCTTTCAACAGCCTGTGGTGGAAGCAGAGAGTGAAAACAGTGCACTTGTTTTATTGTTCATCGACTCTAAATACTGGCCGTTGTCCCTCAGTGACAATTACTCTCTAAGAACTGTTTTTTTTTTCTGTGTTTAAAATGGGTGAGTTTAGACATAACCACCTATGAGTGACGTCAGCCTGTCAGCAGCCCTCTAATCCTTCAAATCTCTGACTGACTGAGAGCATGTGATGGGAATAAGGTTGGGCCTTGAATCACTGAACCGGCCATGATCTCACAGAGGGAAAACAAGGACTGGGGGAGTGCGGCGCTTCTGCAATTCCCTTCAGTCTACTAAAAAAGGACGGTTTATACTGTACAGAAAGTGTAAACAAACCCAACCAAAAGCCCTTAAATTGGTTCAAATAGCTGCTACTTTCAAGAGCCGTTTAATATCCTCAGGCGAAGAAATCCACCACAGAAACAAACTAGACAAAAATCTAATGCAGCTACAGGTATCTGTGAAAGGTGTACAACCCACTTCTACCAAAGTGAAAACCTATTGCTCCTTCACGCACTCCCAGTAGTGTGCTACCTCTCACTCTCTCACCATCTGGATGCAAAAGGTTTGTAGCTGTGTTTTAAAAGTACCAAAGGTCAATCTGGGAAAATGAGGAAGTCACTTTCTAAACTGAAACTACAGCAGATGTAGTGAACCAAAGACTGATACTACCAGCAGTAAGTGTTTAGGAGCACAGGTGTCATTGAGTCCAAAACTGTCTACAGATGCAAAACTATTGAGATGTGACATCAACTGCTTACACATTCAGTCTACTGTAGAGTCAAATCTCTTTCCTGGATTTTATTTTCTATCAAATTTTATTTTCTATCAAATCAAAGGTTCGTCTTGAGATTTATTTTTTTGACAGCAGCGACAAGTTTGCAGCCCAGGTCGCCAAATCCCAATGCTTTGTCATCATTAGCAACTTAAACATGTGCACAAAGTTGCAGGTTTCTAGCGTTTGGTTGGGTTTATGCATGAAAACTACATAGTTAAGTGAGTTAAAAACACCGAATAGGTTCAAATGAAAACTCAACATTGAATTTCGGTTTCACATATGGCTCCATCCCTGGTCTCTTGGGTGAAAGTTAACAAGCTTAATCCATAAATCATCCCCTGTCTTCTGCCTCAAAGCTAAATCAATTGGTAAACAACACAGACTGTATATGGATGTAGTCCCACTGGCGTCACACATTGAATTCTGAAGTGGACTTTTGAAGTCCCTCGTTGGCGGTCGCCATATTGGAAATGCTGTCTCAAACCAACTTTCAGTCAAAGAGCTAGAGCTGAGGCGGGCCTTAAGCCTGCCTGCCAATCAGATCAGCCATGCCCCTTATGATAAATAACTCTTATCCTTCATAATCTTTATAACTAATGTTATTCTTCAGCAGTATTTTGTGCTAAATTGTAATTGGCGAATGTGATCGCGCACGCGCACAAAACAATGTGCAGAGTAATGGACTGTGTCAAAATACCTGCTGCACATCATTGTGTTCTTTAGCATGAGGCGGCAGGCAATTGCATTTAGATGAATTCAGTTGTGCATCTTTTTTTAGTATTTGGATTAGTTGATGGTTGTTACAGCTCAGAGTTATTGCACCCTACAAAGCCGCTCATACAGTAACTGGTGTCACTCTTTTCCTGCAAGTTTCTGACAAAATCCTCGAGCAACAGCAACTAGGACACACCCACACTGACCTCTGCTCTCACTGTCTCATATCAAAAAGGTTTTCCTCTCTGGGACTTGCCTATTTGCCGGTTAAATGCCAGCTCTACAGAGAATACAGACAGGTTTTTTTTTAAATCATTCAGCAAAGGTTCAAAACCATTGTTCCTGATCGGATGCTGGAGCTTTCTTATCACAGTCATTTCCTCCGACAATAACAGGAAGGCCAGTGATGTACGCTCCTTTCATCCTGTTGTGACCTGACAAGCCAAGCGGGAGCCCTGAAAATGAACATCTCTCTTTTTTTTTTTTTTTTTTTGCACGCCGCGTACGTTGGACACCTGAAGAAATTGTGGTAGCCAAAGCTTAAACTCCCAACATGAGACGAGACAACCTTTTCATTAGCAATTAGATTGTTTTCTCGGAAGCCAAAACCAGAACCTGTAATGTTGCTTCTCTCTCTCTCTCTCTCTCTCTCTCTCTCTCTCTCTCTCTCCGACAGCTCCTGTGTAAGACTATCATTATAGCTGCTCGTGCCTTTACAGCTGCAAGCCGCTGACTGGTCCCATTCATGCCCCAGCATGTGAATATAGATCTTCCCCCCCCATCTGAGGTCACATCTGAATCCCTGCCCTGCAAATGACTAAGATCAGATGAGGCTGAATGCTGACATTTTACCAAGATGGAAGACATTTCCCTTAACTCCGCTGTTTAAAAGCCTGTTTATCAGTTCAGCTAAACCCTCTTTTCATAATCCATATGAGTGAGTGGTGGGCTGGAAAAGCGTGGGTTGAATTGTTTATCTGTTTTTTTCCTGCTGCAATCTTCCCCTCATTTCATTAACGCTGCATGCTATAGCACTTCTGCACCCGGCAGCTTGTCTTATCAGTGAAGCTTGAATGCCCACAATCTTTATCAGAGAACAAATTGCAATTGAGCACACAGAACAAAAAAAATCTAATTCCTCATTTAGCAGAAAATGATCAATTCCGGCTAATTGCTCGGATTCCACATAACCAGTGACACCAGTCGAGATGGATTCCTGTATAATAATGAACACTCCCGCCAGATAAAGTGTATTTATAGTCCCCTCCTGTGGCATGGGAAGTAGCTGGGGAGCTGATGCTAGCTTTAGTTGGCACAGAGGAAATAGCTTAGTGTCTGCCTTCTCTACATTTGACAGCATCAGCTTCATGCAATGCTTGTGCAATATTTTATTCAGGAGTAAATGCATGGTCTTAACGTTAGACTGAGATTTAAAAATTAACAGTAGGCACTTCAGATGTGTATACAGGGCATTTTTTTGCTTGCTTTTATCTACTAGTTGTATTAATGTAAAAAAGGGGAATCATTATTTGCACAATATAATTTGTGTTGCAGCTTGCAGCAGCGTTGTTGCATGCTAATAATGCAAAATTCCCTCTTGGAGTCATTACTACTCACTACTACTATGAATGAGGTCAGGAGGGTGCACAAATGTGTGTTTGTGTTAAGTAGTTCACAATTACATACTAACACATCTCATAGTAAACACAACCTGTGGTGCATTAAGCAGGCTGGGTAACAGCATCAGATGTAGGCTATAATTAGGCTGCAATATGCAATTTGCTTGCATATTTCAGGTTATCAACAAGTACAAAACGGCAAATACTACTCGTATTTTGTGCCATATGAGAGCAAGAAACCTTCCTAACTTGCAGCTGCACAGTTTAAATACAAAAGTAGTTTCATAGCAAAGTGAATCTTCAGTTTATGGAGAGAAGAGAAGAGTATGTGGATAATGTGACAGAGGAGGTTACATAATATAGATGGGGATAAACGTCCTGTAAGCAGTGTCGTCCAGGACCAGTAGTAAGACAAAATGCTGGGAAATGATGTTATATAGCCTACGCACGCGATATTTTCACAGAAGACACACGCGCCCCCTTTTACGCTCACGCGGGAGGGTTTTTTATTTTTTATTTTAGAATAACGCGCGAGCTCTTATCGCCTTAAAATAACATCCCGTAAAGATAATCCGGTGTCGGGAACAGAACATCTGGAGGCGAAGCAGGGGTTCCCGCTTCCTCTCCGAAGTTTTATAAACATGAAGGAAGAAATAAAATAAAATAATAACAAGCCTTAAGAAGACAAGCAGAGAGAGCCTTACCTCGATCCAGAGAGAGCGGTTGGACCACTGTCGCCATGTCTGCTGTTTACTGGAGACTGGAGAGGCTACGGGAGCTGCAGCATCACAGAGAGAGAGAGGGGGAGGAGAGAGAGAGAGAGAGCAGTGATTGGGAGTGGTTGGGAGGGGGATTAATCTACCTTAATCCTTATCATCATTTCTCATCACCTGGCATCCTTTGCAAATTAAATCTTTTATGTTCCCCTTTATGAAAGATAAGTCGTTTTATGTTGTATTTTTTAAATTATTAAGGTTTTTTTTTTTCTTAACCCCCCCTCCCTAAAAAGTTACCGTAATTTATGGCATTTTTTATTACATTGAGTGTTGTAGAGTAGACAACAACAGACTTGCACAAGGGACTGATTTTTATTAAGTCAGAACACATGGCTATATGTGAACATTTGAAAAAAAGGATACTGACACTAAAGGCTGCTGCAGTTTTTTTTTTGCAGGCTGTTTTACTTCATTACAAGTTGTCATATTTCATCACAAATTTTGTTCATCCTGGCACATTTTTAAATATAATTTTTTAAACATACAAGAATACATACAACATGAAATAAAATAAAAATAGATACAAATCTAAAGAAAACTTACGAAGAGAGAAAATATAATTAAATTAAGATTTAGAAAATAAATAATAATAATAATAATAATAATAAAAAAATAATAATAATGATAAAGGCTGCTGCAGTTTGAGGTAGAGCAGGTCTTCCCCAGTCAGAACTATTATTATTATATATATTATTATATATTATATATTATTTTTACAGTCTATGGTCAGAACCAACATGAACTCCTGCTCAAGTCGGGACAAAAACTTGGAAACTCGAAAAAAATTAGGTGCCCGACTTCACTTCAGAATAGTCATCAAATAGCTGGCAAATTATGTTTTGTTAATGTTAACATACTTTTTATTAATTCAAGTATTGCACATCAACTTATATGCTCAAATATCACTTTTAACAGAAACATTTTACTGATCTTCTCCGTAGCATCAACGTTTTTTTTGTGCTGTTGACATTCCGACTTTCTGAACTGAAATCACAATGAAACACACTGAAGACAGAAGAACGACTTCCCAACTCGGAAACTCTGACCACTCGAGTGGCACCTGAATGCAGCATAAGGCAATCAGCCAATCTGTCAATCAGATTGGTCACACAACAACTTTTTTGCTATAGTCAAAACTGATGCGTTTAACCCCCCCACCACCACCACATTTGTTTTCAAAAACACGTGAACATTATAATTTCTGTTGGGTCAGGGGTTTAAGGTCTTACTGTAGGAAACAGAAATATCCCAGAGTTAATTATTCCTACATGTTGCTTCAGCATTCCCAGAAGTCAGCAGTGGCCTCTGTTTGCATGCTGAACAACTGAACCATGCATATTTCTTTTCCTGCTTGTGTAAACACTCCGCCATGCGATCCGTTCATCCATTGCACCTCAGAGATCACTTAATTGCAACTCCTCGCTATTAAAGTTTTATTGTGAAGCGCTGAGCCATGCCGCCTGCTACATCCCCTCCTGGCTCCACGTGCTGCACGGAGCCCGATAAGGACTGAATGATGGTAGTAAACCTTTGTTGAAGGGCTTAAGGATTAATCCCCATGTTTATGTGCGACCACACAACCAATGCTAAGGCACTGACTCTCTTCATTTACTGTAGATCTGCTGCCTAATGATGCCTCCTGCTGTTCTAGCATACCTCACACGTAGTGAGTCATAACGCTTGACAGAAGTAGGGCCCAAGAGAACCCAGAGCGCCAAGACAAGTCACATCTTCACCAATGCAAATGCGAGCCGTAAACGAGAATGTACACCTGAGAGTGTGACGAATATTTAGGCATCCATTCGTACATCTCTCAAAGCAAAACCAGCAGTATCATATAGACAGTTAAATCATTTGAATATGACTTACATTGCGATGAAATAAAAAAAACTTAACCAAATTCAGAAGCAATAACCTCCCTCCTAACCCCTCTTAATGTAACATTTCCTGTTTCTTGAGTAAGTACAGGAAGTCAATTCTAAAATGTAAAATCAATGTTGCTTTCACACCGCACTTAGATTCAATTTCATCATTCTGAAAGTGTTGCTTAATCTAATCATTTAGTCCATATGTGCTGCTGAGTTCAAGCCGCCCACAGTCCCAGCCAGATGCATGCAGATGTGAACTGGTGGTAAGTGGTGGGTAGGGAAGTGCATGGGATGGAGAGAGAGCGAGGGGCTTAGAGAGCGCATGGAAAAGAGGGCACGGAGAGATTACAGGCTCCCATCCATATGGGCTGGAATACAGTTCTGCTTCTTTCTTTTTTTTTTCTTTTTTTAAGAGGTGGGATTACACCGCAGGGCTCTTAACGCCCTTTAACTGCAAGGGAATTGATTTCTGAAAGGTCTCCAGTCGCACAGAAGGAGATGCAAGAGGCCGTGTAGTCAGAGCAAATATAGACCAGTGGACTGAAGAGTGTTTGCCTTTTGGGTTAAGGATCAAAACGTTTGAAGGAAACCCACCAAGTGCTTGTGCAAAAATAAATTCAACAGGTTAAGATGTCATTGGAAAAAATTTAGAAAAAAAAACCATGTTCCTATTTCTTGAGAATTAGCCTTGCTTAGAATTGGTTGGAAACTGCAGGAAACAGTTACCTTAACCTTTTGGAAGCCGACACATCTCAAGAGTTTCTTTTGTGAATTATGTGCTGGAATATTCATTTGCGGGGTTCGGTTATAAATGGAGTCACTGTTGACTGCATTTTCAATACGATCTACAATACCTCTGATTGACTCAGTGGGCTGCTGTCATTACTCTGTTGTTATTCTGCACTATGACGTCATCAATTAGCTAAATCAGCACTGGGAGGAAATGGATGAAAAAGTACTTGTTACTGGTGGAAATCGCAAAGATATATGGGTTGTGAAAGGCTGCCTCCCCACAGCTTCTTGATTATTCATCACTGAGCTCCATCAGGCAGCTGCTGACAGATTATGAAATCAGATCATCCTGTAAACATGTGGGAGGAAAACTGATAGACTTTTTACAAGGAAAGTTGTACCGAAAAACTAAGAGAAGCAGATCCACAAATATGTTCTCTTATTCCCAAAAGGCCGTCTGCCATGTTCACTGACTTTGATTTGATTTACCCAGGGCAACTTCAGCATCGTGTCTTCCTCAAGGGCACTTTAAGATTCAAAAAAGCAGAACCTGCTATGTTGTTTTCCCATCAACGATTCACCTGTCTAATGGAAATATTAGTTGACCTTGTTGCATCTAACCGCTCCTGATTGATTTCATCTCATTTTATTCGAGAACCAAGCAAATGTGGGTTTATCGACTGTCTTGTTGCATTATTACCCAGCACAACATTGGAAGAGTTATTGGTGCTCCTCTGCTGTTTGGCATTTCATTTAATCATTGACTGACAGTAAAAAAAAACAAAAAATCCAAGACATCTATTTTTATGAAGCAACAGTCTCACTTACACATAAAAATTGAATACAATCATGGAATCATCTGTATGAGTGAGATGTTCTTGGCTTGTGTATGTGTGCATATTTTATATTTTATATGCTGCTACTGGATTGCTCCAACAGAGTTTTGTTGTATAGCATGCAATGACAATAAAGATCTATATATCCATCTTTCTATAATGGCTTTTATTTCCACATACATCACAAATATATAAGTATTTAGTATTTGATTCTAGTGCATTGGGGTTTTTTTGGGGGGGGGGTTTGTGCCTTTATTAGAGAGATAGGACAGTGGAGTCGGAATTCAGGGAGAGAGAGAGAGCAGGGAAGGACATGTAGGAAAGGAGCCACAGGTTGGATTTGAACCTAGGCCGCCCAAATGGAGGACTACAGCCTCCGTACATGGGGCGTGCACACTAACCACTGCACCACCAGCACCCTGAATCTAGCGCATTGTTAAAGCAAATGTCTATGAACAACTCATTATTCTAAACTGTGAATACTTTAGCCTGAATTTGTTTCACAAGTCTTTCAGGCAAATGTTGTGTCTTAACCCAATCCCGAATGTCAAATAGCAATCATTATCATCCAACTCATTTGAACCCATATTCAGACATGCTGAAGGAGGAAAGAAAATTTCATAAAATTGAATCATCTGTAGATAAACTCTGGTAATTTGCCTCAAACTGTTTCTGAAGGGCAACCGACTCGTTTCTGCTTCAAAAGACTCGCACTCATCACATCCAATCAGAGGAGCGGGGGCAAGACCGAGGGGCCTTAATGAGCCAGTTTGGACTCCGGTTCTGGGGTCTGATTGGCCTTTGCGTGCAGCCATTAGTCAGTGCTCTCTTTCTGTGCACGCCCGGTGCCAGAGCAAGAGAGTGTAAGAATGATACAAATTCTGCCAATAGCATCTGCACTGTTATAAAAAGAGTTTAGCGGAGCGTTCAGGGGTGCAGGGATTTAGTGAGACCTTTTGGCCAGACAAATTACTGCATGAGAGGAGAGAGGACACTTTCTTTCCCCTGTCAAAAAAAAAAACCACCATAAGTAATACATGAATACAGATCTTATCTTGTATCTGTTGAGATGTGATGAAATATGGATCGATAAAAAGCAAGCACAGAAGGCGGAAAGGATAACACTGCTTTGATGGATTTGGAATAAACACAAAAAGGGTTTTCATTTGTGTTGTTGTTCTTATTGGTAGATGAAAACAAATGCATAATAAAAGGGTGATCATATAACATATAAAGCATGACAGTATACAAAAACAGTATCGAAGTGAACTAAAATATTATATGTTGAATAATGTTTCATCTATTTTATATACATTTAAGCTTTGTGATATTTATATCTGACAGGAGCGTCTCTGTGTGGAGTTAGCATGTTCTCGACAGGGTACTCCCCTCCAAAGTCCAAATACATGCGCGTTAATTGTTAATTGTTGACTCCAAATTCGACCATAGTTGTGAATGTGAGTGCGGCTGCTTGTCTGTTTCTATATGTCAGATCAGTCCAGGGTGTACTCCGCCTCCCGCCCAGTGACAGCTGTGATCAAGCCCCCACAACCCCAAATGGAAAAAGAGGCAAAGATGGATGGTTAGCACATTTACCTGAGGTCAAAATCAGACTAAATTCAACTGACTCATGAAATGAGAGAGCCAAATGAGAGCACGATGATCTAAATATTCTGGTTAACTGAAAAGATATGTTTGTTCAATTCTTCTGAACAAACAATTATTTTGAATCATTTGATTCCCCCCTCACCCCCCCCCAACAAACCACTCTAAAGGGTTATAATTGGGTGTCCAATGAATTTATTCCCACACATTTGGTGTGACATACAATGTACTCAGTAGTTGCAAGGGAATACAAAGGGTTCCTTGGAAAGTGCCTTGGGAGCTCTCTAATGGAACACACGGCTCTGTGTGTATAAATAGAAACAGATGAAGCTGAAATATCAGATGGATGAGTTACTTAACCAGGGGCACCAGTGTGCAGGGGTCACTTCAAAGGGGGGTTTGGGGGATTATGGGTATTTTCTGGTGACGAAAGAGATGTACGACATAACCCCATCTGAGAGCACATGGAGCTTTTCGCTGCTCAGTGTGGCGTGCCAGGACTGCACAAGCTGCTGCTGTCATGATGAGACCAGAACAAGTGACTCAGCTTCAGAAGAGACATTTTTGAGATTTTAATTTGGCTCCATGCAGCATACATAATGATGATTGTAAATATCCTCAAACAAGCTTTTTCTAAACGCATTCCCTGATCAGTTAAAGCAAAGGCATTTGCATTCTTAGCAGGAGAGGGGTTATTGATGCCACCCTGAGGAGCCTGAAAATTTAATGTAGCCGCCAGTAAACAAAGATTTGTGATGAAAAGAAGCTTGGAGAATCTCAGAAGGAAATATTGATGATTTCTTCTTGTTTGAATAATAAAACACTTGCTGGAGGCAAGATTCCAAATTATGCCCAAATGAATAATTAGCGGCTGAAACCAGATTTTTATTTAAAAGTTCTCAAATGTCAAGTGTGTCGCATATTTAAAAATTAGTAGGCTAAGGTGCTTTTGGCAGTTTTATGAGTTGTTTTCCTTACAAGTGAAATTCCCAGTTAACGTCTCTAGGGAATTTGTTGCTAAAAGAAGGATTTTATTCAAGCAGACCACCAAAAGTTCAAAAGTTAAACCACAGCTTTTTATAACAAACACTGCAGGCTGGTTCACTGTGATTTGTATTCAAACAGATTACATGAATGAACACTCTATTAGTAAAAAAAAAGCCTACTTTTGGCTGGTTTAAGTGTTTTTCTTTTGTTTTGCATTAAAGTTTTGTGGAGTTGTGCTACACAGCTCCTCCTGCGTCAAGTACATCCAGTTCATAGTTCGCATTCCTTCAGTGGATTGTAAGGATTCTGTTGACGTCTCCCTTTAAGTGGCCCCACTACTGATGACGTCGGCTCAGAGTTGTGTAGTAGGATCTCGGGTGCCTCACCTGCAGGGAAACACCGGAAGAAGTAGCATTGCGTGAAAGTTTCTCCTTTTAAAAACAACAACGGCAACAATGCACTTCCAAATAAAACACATGTTGCGCCTGAGTCACTGCGACTCCCTGCTGCGCAAAAGGACACTCGGGAGGAAACTGTGGACTTTTTCAGCTGCACAACAACAAGGCATTAGAGCTGCAGGATCCCATGCATGTGCAGATTTAAAGAAGTATTACGCCTTGCGGTGTTGCAGGAACTATGCATCAGATTCCGCGTACAGTCGAGCCTTTGCCTCAGCGAGGGACAATCCCGAGACTTTCTGGAGTCAGATGGGACAGGATATTAACTGGTTTGAACCGTGGAGTAAAACTTTGCACGCTGAGGACCCAGTGTTTCCAAACTGGTAGGTATCTGTGTGACAAGCAAACACAGCAAGAGGGATTTCTGCGCGACACTTTCATGTGACAAGTGGGACTGTTAAAGAGTGGAAAACATGAGAAACATGGAAGGGTACACAACTTGCGCTTGACTGCCACCTATCTCCAAGTCATAGCCAATATTCTCAAAGCTCTGTTTACTTGGATGTCCCTGAAAAGGTTTCTAACTTAAGGGAAATAAATGAACGATTATTTTCAGATTTAATGTATGACCCTTAATTGCTTACAACTTAGCCTGGTAGACTAATTAAAGTAGTACTGGACATTAAGATAAGATAATCCTTTATTTATCCCACAATGGGGGAACATTGTTACAGCAGCAAAGAGCAAAGATTGCAAACAAGAAGTGAACACAGTACAATTTAAATAACAAAAAAAGAAAAATTAAGAATGTACAAAAAAATAGATTTAAAAAAAAAAACAATTTTGGCAGTAAGATCCAGATAGTTATGAAGATTACATAATCAATAAAATGGACATAATTTGAGTTTTTCTGGTCTCCAGTAGTCTCTTCTTTAAAAAATATGACTTATTTGTAGATTTCTTTGACATAGGCTAGAGTTCTAATCAATCAGTTATTATTAATATTTTCGATGAAAGATAAGAGTCAATGTTTTTATTGGGAAAAGGAAATTAGGATAAGATGAGATGACATAGAACTTTAATAATCCCTAAGGGAAATTCTTTGGTCAGGTTGCTCAGTAATAAGAAACATAATTTAGTGTATTACAAGTATTAAGTGGATATGGGTTTGATTAAAAGACAAAACTGGATAATAGAGATGATAAGTGGAGTTACAGAGTGAGATAAGTATGACAGTACGGCTTTAACCTCGGTAAAAGGTAAATAAACGTGAAAGTTCAGACACAGACCCAGGTGCCGTTTATGAAAGCTCCAGGTCGTGCCTACAATATCAAATGATAACAAAATAATGGCAAAACATACGCCTGTTAATTAAAAATAGTTAGAAATCATTTTCAAAGCAGAAAAAGAAAATTGTACATAATCTAAATAAAAGGAAACAATATGTATATTCTTGGTTAGTCACTTCCGAGAGTTGAATGAAAGTTTTGCTAGCTAAAGACGAGGTGCAGTAGTAGGCACACACTGGATTTATTATAACTAAACCATATCTACTAAATGTCACTGGATAAAAGCATACATTATTAAAATGCATGGCAGCCTAAATAATGGTCCTGCAAGGAGAATGTAATGAAAAGGAAAATATTTCTGTGGGTGTTTTTTCTTTTTTTCTCAAAGTAGCAGGAGCTGCTTAAGTCTCAGACTGTTCAAATGAAGGTACACAGCCAGCGTGTTCCTCTCTGTCTGCCTTCCAAAACAGCAGTTTCCCAGACACCATCTGCTCAACCTGCTCGCTGCTCTTCATCCATATGCACAGCTTTGAAACTGTCGCTTTATCAACTACAGTGATTTAGTGTGCGCTGCTGGCACACATTAATGCATATGCTTTTTCTTTGAGTTCAATTCTTCAGGTTGTGTTCCATTTTCTCATTACCAACCAAGAATAGACACTTTACAACATTATGTTTATCAATAATAAATAAAAAAAAAGGCACAAGTATATAATCTTAAGCAGTGGTTCTCATGTTATAGCATCAGGACCCACTACCAACTCTTTCTTGTAAATTGCAGTTTTTCAAAAATATTTTTTAACCAATCAGATTAATTTAATGGATTTAAAAACATTTAATTTAATGTTTTGTACTTTTAGATGGTACAAAACAAAGAGAACAAAACTAACATGTTTAAAAGCACTTCTGACAAAGTAGTTTTTTCCATGGACGCACATGCAACACACTGAAAACGGCTCAGTGACCCACCAGTTGGGACCCACTAACTGTATGTCTTACTTAAAAAATAATTTTCCAGTACATGTTAAAAACTATTATTAATCTTTGATCGGTTTACTTCTTTTGCTGATTGATTTTTGTTTGTTTGTGCTTCTCTTTCAGGTTTGTTGGAGGGAAGTTGAACATGTGCTACAATGCTGTGGATCGTCATGTAGAGAGCGGTCGTGGAGAGCAGCCTGCAATCATTTATGAGAGCCCAGTGACTGGAACTAAGCAGATCATCACTTTCAGAGAACTGCAGGACCAGGTGATTTTTTATCAAATGCCAAAGTCACAGATCTGAGCAGCCCTGGATCTTAACCGCGATCTTTACTCCCAGAATTTGTGGTAAAACATCGCCTGTTAGACCAGAAACCTGCAGCTGGAATTTTGTGCACTGAAAAAATAAATAGTCAGTGTTGCCATGACGATGAATAAATGTTCCACCCTTCCGCTAAGACAATTGGCCAAGTTTTTGTCTCTGCAAGGGCAGCGTGAGCCACAATTAGCATAAAGGGCAGCACAACAACTAAAACAGATAGAAAAAGAAGTAATTAACTTGATTGACATTTGGACAGATGTTTGAGTTTGAACCAGCCTCCAAAGCAAGCGCTGTTATCAGAATGTGTTCCAATTGAACGAACACTTGGCTACATCTTAATTAGTTTATTTTCCTCAAAGGGAAAAAGTAATTAAATATGGTTTCCAAAAATAAAAAGAGCTCATTTAATTGTCTTATAATTCTCTATTTATGTAGCCAGTAATGGATTTGTAGAAACATAATAGCATAAATAATCAAGAAACATTTCACATGAAGAAATGCACAATGTGCCTTTTCGCAACATTAATTAATCACAACATGTTTGTTATCGCAATCAAGGACAGTTGAAGTGGATTTGTGCAGATATTTGAAAGAGTCGGTTAATCTTGATGCCAGAATGTTGTCTTTAAGTACTCTGCGTCCCCCCCCCCCTGTTTCTTGATCCAGGTGTCCAGGTTAGCAGGAGTCTTGGTGAAGAATGGAGTGCAGAAAGGAGATCTGGTTGTCATCTACATGCCCATGGTGCCTCAGGCAATGTTCACCATGCTCGCCTGCGCACGGATCGGTGCCCCACACAGCCTCATCTTTGGCGGCTTCGCTTCCAAAGAGCTCTCTGTTCGCATCAATCATGCCAAGGTAAGAAAAGAAAAAAACCAAAGTCTTGTTATTCACCTGGTGGTTGAGATTTATCTCTTCTTGAGGCGTGACAGCGTGACAACATGATCTTAATTAAATCAGAGTCACTCTTCAGCACCCTGGCTACCTAAGGATATGCTGATGCAATGACTTTTTGTTCTTTTCAAGTACTGAAACAAAGCTGAGCAACAATGTGAGTGCACATTAATAATTTTGCATTCCTAATTTTCATGTTGCGTTAGTAATGTGCACCATTCATTCTGAATTATATGCAAAGCACTGCAAGCCAGAGGGGCCTGAGGCATCTTTGTTTCGTTAAGCTTCAAATAAATCCTTCAGAGTGGAAGGCACACCTTTCCCTCCTGCAAGCGCTCACTCACATATGATGTGATTACCATCTGCACAAACATTTGACAACAGGGCTAAAGGAAGAGTTGATAACACAAACGTGATATTTTGACAGGAAGTGTTCCTCGAGATATGATTCCTATCATTGAATGTGTTTATGCAGAATTAATTTCAAAGAAATGCTTTGTTATTCATCTTCCAGGAACTGCTTGATCAAGAGTTAATACTCTTACTGTTGAGGTTCATTTGAGGAGAGCAGATGAATTGTTAATACTCTTAAGAACAAGTATTCTCTTAGAAATCATAGAAATAGATTTTTCCCTTTGTAATCTGACATTAAAGCAGATAAAAGGAAAAGCTAATGATTATTTTCTTCTTGAGCGATCCTGTAGAAGTTGCAGTACCTTACAACGACCACCATGGGAACTTGTGCTGTACTGTAGCTTTTCAGGACAATCTTCTTTTATGTGGGACAAACTGTGTGTGTATTAACTTTTTTCAATCTCAAGACTTACTGAAAATACTTATGAATACTGAAAACTGCTTATGTTGTCTGTATTTGGCTCAACACGTTTCCAACCTCTTAAAAAGGCAGAAAAAGATGTCAAGTCAAGCCCGATGGTGCTCAGCTATAGAATCATGGTGTTTTCAAACACAACCGACTTCTCACTCAGTCTCTTTGTTTCTCAGCCCAAGCTGATGGTTACCGCCTCGTTTGGCATCGAGCCAGGCAGAAAAGTGGAGTACCTCCCTCTGGTGGAGAAGGCCTTGGAGATGAGCTCTCACAGGCCCTCCAAAGTCCTCATCTACAACAGGCCTAACATGGTAAGAAGCAGAATGCATCACCAAGCCAAATTATTTCTAGTGCAGTGTAATGTGGGGGATTTGATAAACAGTGAAGTGGTTTGTTTTTTTCTTCTTCTACTTCTGAAGTTTTGCAAAATAAGTGTGAAAAAGGAAAATAATAGAAATAAGAAGACAGTCTTAGGTAGCGTCCTCGTTTTGGATCTTAAACCCTGAGGGTAGAAGCTCTTAGATTTGTCCTTGTGTATTTGATACTTCGGTGTTCTCACCGCTGAAAGGAGAAGAGGCCATTATCTGGTTGTCCTTTGCTTCAGTGGTTCTTCAACTTTTTCTGCAGGGCCCCCCTTTGGTAGATGGAAAATGCATCCACATACACTAAAACATACTATCATGAAGGTCTTTTAAGGAACAAATCCCTCTGTCTTAAGAATTTATTTGAAACATGGTCTGCGGAAAAATACCAAATTTCAACTTTAGTGTGAGAAGTGAAAGAAAAAATACAACAGGCCACTTTTAGAGAGGAATTGACCGTGGGGCTGGCAGGGAAAATTCCAGGGAAAGTCTGAGTGTCTTGCTTGTGTTCACTCCTGCAGCTCAGCACGAATATTTCAGGAGGTTTTCAGGAGTTTTGCGTACATGTGAATTGCACCTTCACATAGGTAGGATGCGGCAAAAAGAGTGGAGGCAGGGCTCTCAGCGGTAGTGTGCACCCTTACCCAGCGCAACTCTGTAAGCTACTGTGTAAGAGGCCAGTTAAGAATTTGATGGCACAGATGCAGCTTAAGTGAAACCCTTCAATCAAACAGGCTTCTCTTCGTCTGTGTGGATTGTGTGGTCTTAACTTGTTAGGCTTCCTGCTGTGAGGAGCTCATACTTTGAGCCACAGCACACATTGTAGTCTCTCTCCATTAGCCGCCATAAAGGGTCAAGCTGAGGGCGAGATATGACATAAAGTTGACCACTGTGTGCATTGTTTTTATTAAGCCTTTGCTGCGTCCTCCCAGAGGGCCCCCCCCCCCATCCGGTTTTGGAGTCACTGTCTTACTTTTTTTTATGCAGCAGCATGGATTAAAAGTCTTTATAATGTAAATGTATGTAAATGTGAACCTGCTGCTTATTTGACAGTATGTTAATGTATCTGAAATATGCCAGCCGTGTGTAAACCTGTGAAGTCAGAGTATAGCTGCTGTTGACGCTCCCAAAGGCTCATGTTGAGAGAATTGGACCAATAAGATCATTTAATTCGTTTTAACTCGATCAGCTACGACGCTCTGTTGGCTAAATATGGCAAATGTGCAAGGAGAAGTAAGCTGGAAAGCACAAATCCCAACAGCAGATGAAAGAATACAATAATGCACGTGTAGTTTTAAAATAGGTGAGGGATTGAAAAGCATCGGGCTCGGTGTTTAAACTGGCTTAGCTGTGTGGACGGCACAAAAACTTGCATGACATGCCGACAGAAAGCTTCACCTTAACAGAGACATGAAAGAAAAGCACAGAGTGTGAAGCCAGGGAAAGAGAAATGACTCTCGGTTCAGCTTCTGAAGTCATTTTCTGGGAGTCTGTATCTCAGTTTGAGATTGTTCAGTTACACCATGTGCCTCTATCTGACTCAGGCGTCTTCTTAAATTAACATAAAGCAATCTATTTCATCTGGTTTGGGTACTCTTGTGTTATCGGCCCGAATCACGGACTGTAGAGAACCCCAATTTAGCGAGATACTCGGTGGGCTATCAGGGAAATAGTTTTCACAGGAAATTTCGCTGCAAACTCGTCCCACTTAAAATCATGTGAAGCACCACTTTGAAGCTGGTAGCGGCTGCCTAATCAATTTACTGCATTGAGTAAGCAAAAGGGGGCTGTGACTCTGTGAACATGGGCTTCTCACATGAAAAGGCTCGTTCAATCAGCCGCAGTTTTCTCCGGCTTGGCTCTGAATAAAAAAAGCTGGAGTTTACATCAGCTGTCTGTCCTCTGCCTGGAGAAGAATCTGTGTGACAGTGAATGATGTCTCCGTCTTGTTGAGTACCAAAGAAAGAAATAACCCCCGACTTTTTCCTCAGCCTGAGTCGAATTATACCTCAATGGTAATACAGTATCAAAGAGATTCAGAGAAGTTACAAAAGAGGGAGATGTGAGGGCTGTTGATCTCAGACCAGAGAACAAGAAACTGGAAAGACAGAGGAACTATTTTTTCTTAAGCAGCATTATATAACTAAGTCAAATAAGCTTTTTTTTTTGACCCCTTCCATATTGACATTTGGATTCAGACACACAATGCATACATCTATATACTGTAAGTGACATGTAGCAAAATAGTTGCAAACAAAAACTTTTCAAAAACTGCAAATATGCGATACCAAAGTCTTTTGCATGAATTATTCAATTACTACGCTCTGCCAATGAAAGGCGTCTGATCCAACCTTGACAACAGGGTCCTAAGACGCTGACTAGACTCTTCTCCTCTGTCGCCCCCCCTGGTGGTGGAATGAACTTCCAAACTCCATTGGATCTGCAGAGTCCCTCTGCACCTTTAAGGAAAAGCTAAAGACCCAGCTCTTTCATGAATACCTACTAACTTAATGATGATGGTCTCCATATTATTGATGATGATGATGGTTTTTGTTTGATAAAGACGACTTATAAGATGGTTTCTATACTGATTAGAGCTCTCAAGAACTGCCCTCAATGTTGTGCTTTGCCTCGGGTCACTTCCTGTCAGCACCTGTGTGTCCAATCAGACTCAAAGCTGATCGTTTGCTCTTACTGACATTGTTCCCTTTTTTTCTAGATCCTTGCTTGTGTTGTTCTTACTCTCTGATGTACGTCGCTTTGGATAAAAGCGTCTGCTAAGTGAATTGTAGAATTAATCCAAGGCTGAGGCTTTCAGAATAACTTCAGAATCTTTTTTTTTTTTTTAAAGTAGACTTTTGAGATTGTGTTTACTCTCCCCGTCAACCCCCTAATAGGAAAAACCTTTGCTGGTAAAGCAACGCAGTACATTAAGTAAGCACAGCAGAATGAGGCCAGAGCACCACCAGCATCTTCTGTTTATCTTTAGAAGTTACAGTTACGGCTCAAACTGCAGCAGATGTATCTGATGTTGGACTTTTTCTCCGACTAGGAATTGAAACAATCAAACAATTCCCTTTTTATAGCTGTTTTATTGCGCTAAGAATACGATTGTTTCTTTGTCTTTTAGGAGAGAGTATCGTTGAGTCCAGATTTGAGCCTGGACTGGGATGAAGAAATGGCCACAGCTCAGCCTCACGACTGTGTCCCCGTTCCCTCCAACCACCCTCTCTACGTCCTCTACACATCTGGCACAACAGGAACACCAAAGGTACCGACACTACGATCATCAATTCCCCCGACTCGAAGACATGTACGTCATGTAAACACTCACAAAGAGTCAGCTCTGTTTGTCTGAACGCCTTCAGTCACAGCTCCCGTGTGACTCGTCTCTGTGCAAAACAAACCGGGCCAAAATCTAAACATCATCGCTGTGACATAAATAAGACTGAGCACTTCAACAGCAGGAGCGGCGGCTCATGCAGGAAGAGTTGCCTGCAGGCAGCCTTCCAATGTTGGAAAAAAAAAACTAAAATCCAGTATTTTCAAAAAGCATCATCTTTGGCCAACGAAGTATAAAAAAACATCAACCTTCTGGCTGCTTGCTGAGCTTAATAGAGCGGTTATTGCCTACTTTTCTCTTTCTTATTGACCGTGTCATTTGAAGTTATTGATGTGCTGAGACCTTAACTCTGATTGCAGACAAGAGGACTCAAGGACACTTTGCTTGAACATTTCTTTACAACAGCGCTAAAGACAAGAAGCAGTAACTTGACACCACTTCTCAGAAGCAATCATATGTAAACATTTCAAACTCCCCCACCCCCCACCCCCCTCCCCCGCTACAGAGTGACTGTGTTTGAGACCGATATTAAACCCCCTGGCCGTACCTGTCACCTGTCTGATGTTTTTCTCTCCTTATCTCGTCCCCCAGGGCGTCGTGCGAGACACTGCGGGCTACGCTGTGATGCTGAAATGGACCATGTCAAATATTTATGGACTCAGTCCTGGAGATGTAAGGCAATAAAGCGGCGTCTTCTTCAGTCAGAGCTGCGCTTTAGAACAAAGAGCATACAGAGAGCGCAGAGAGACAGATTGTTCTGTACTTGAAAAAGACGATCTGAGCACCATATAATATTCATGGTAACTGAGCAGTCGTAGGGTGTGTGTTTTTCTTTTCTTTATTCACATTCATCTTTTCTTTTTTACAACATAAGCTTCTGGATTAACATTTAGAGTGCCTTCAGTTGAATGTAAAGACAGTGTTGATAGAGTTTTCTCAACTTTCAGTGCACTGTGTTTGCCTTCGATGAGTGTCTTTTGAACCTGTTGCAGGTGTGGTGGGCTGCGTCAGACCTCGGCTGGGTCGTCGGCCATTCTTACATCTGCTACGGCCCTCTGCTCCACGGCAACAGCACCATCCTCTATGAGGTACGTCGACTAGGTAGACGTCTTTAAACCCTGAATCACTTCTGCACCATGTTGTTGATCAATCAATCAATCATTATATCTCCAGGCGATTTATAAAAGAGCTGCTAAAAGACTTTACTCATTGTTTAGAAAAATGGGATAGGTGGAGATGTAATAAGATGCAGGAAGGATTTCTCCTTTGCAGTCCTCGCGTTCCTGATCCACACTTCCTTGCCGCTGAGGTGGAGGTCCGGAGCAGGCCGTCCATGAATGAGGACGGTGGTGGTTTTGGGGACGACTGAGTCCAATGCTGGTGGCTGGGCATCAGGGATGTCGGGTGGTAGTAGTGCCCCATTAACTCACCAACTCTTGTTGGTTGTTTTTCACCAACACACCAAGACAGATTCCTTGTATGTGTAAATATACTTGGCAATGAAATACGATTCTGATTCTAAATCTGATTCTGATCACGATCACCTCGCTGAAGGTTGAGGTGATCTCCGTCTGCTTTGAGCGCCTGGCTTCTGCTGCTCCTTAAATCTTATCAGAAAAAAAATATAAACCACCAGACTTAAAGCTGACATTCATCTCAACAGACTGCTCGGGCTTCTGCGTTTCTTGCGTCATCAGCTACGCTACATGCAGTGCAAAATGTGGTCAAAACATGAAACATGAAGGTGTCAGGAGGCAGGCAGTGATCTGGCATCGAGGGATTGTTTGCGCTATCATGTTTAACTAATACGATGAGGAAAAATCTCTGCACACCTGAATGTGTGACAGGTTCAAGGAGAGCCTCCCCCACACTGTCTCTCTTTATGCTGCCAAATGTAATGCTCAAACAATGTCTGGGTCGAACCAAACTTTTGTAATTATTATACCTCATGGGTGATATTCAAACAGGTATCAATATTGGATTGGAATCAAGTCAAAGTTTGGTATCATCTGGTTTTGTGACAACCCTAACTTTCTCTTTTTAAGGTGCCAATCATGGAGCGTCAACAGAGAATCACTGCTCACCTTACCTCGTGTGTGTTACAGTGTTTTCCTCCCGTTAAGTGCCACACATTACATTAGCCCGCTGATTTCTTTATAAGCATTACTGCTGGGGAAATAAATGATTCTGCCTTCCTTTTGGCTCCACACACACACACACACACACACTGCGTGTCTCAGGCGACTCTAGTTCAAGCAGCCCGTCTGTCTTCAGGCACGATGCTGCCAACCTTTTTTGTGTCTCTCTTTTGGTCAATTTGAAAACACAAATATTTACTCGGAGCAAAACTGACAGCCAGGACTCACTGCTGATGTTAAGCATTATTCATTCATCTGCAGTTGTGTGCTCACTGTTGGGACGGTCTCGTTGAATCCCAGAAACACGATTGGAATCGCCGTTGGACGCAAACGCCTGCGGGCATTCTTCTGTCTATATCTGTTTTCTTCTAGACAAATACTCCTCTTATAGTGCAACTGTGTTTACTAATCCGGGGATTTCTCGGCCCCCCCCCCCATCCATCCGTCTTGGAGGCAGCCTTCCAGTGTGCCTCCAAACAGCTGCTCCATGAATATTAATGCTTTCTAGTGAACAGTAAATATGTACTGTGGAACAATGTTGAATTATTGCTGTGAAGCTATTTGCTTGGTTGACAGTCACTCTTATGATTTATATGTTTTCACCCGTGCTACACGTTTTTCATTTTTTTTTTACTAACCAGCTGTTGCCTGTTTTCAGGGTAAGCCTGTTGGGACCCCGGACGCTGGGGCCTTCTTCCGTGTCATGTCTGAGAACGGCGCCTCCTCCATGTTTACAGCACCCACTGCCATCCGAGCCATCCGCCAGCAGGACCCCCACGCTGCCATCGGGAAAAAATACCCCCTCTCCAGGTACACAATGTTGCACAACAAATAGCTGAAAACAGGTCGAGGAAACTGTTTTTGACACGTCTTTTGTTAGGTTAGAGTTATTTCTGTGTGAGATGGACAATTATGAAATCATGAAACAGTCTGTGGATCATCTTAGATTTCTTCAGCCATGGTCAGACAACACAGAAACACAACACACATGGCTGACAAAGTGCAGACCATCGCTGACCCATGCTGACCAAGATCTCACAGTCATTGACAATCATTGGCAAAATGGCAAAATGGCAAAGTCTTCATCACACAGTGTTGCTTATATTCTGCTAGAAGGTACAGCCCACAAATTCCTTTCCATTTGGGTGCATCACTATAAAACAATAAAGATGACATGACACTGATTTGTATACGTATCAGATGTAGACTCTCTGTCTAGCAAACAGTTGTTGACAACATATAGTTGGCGCCTATCCATTTATAGATCTGCTACTACTTAGGTGCTTCACCCATATAAGGTTACAGCTTCACAGACCCAAAAGTAGAATTACTGTGAGATGGTTGACACAATTTAAAGACATGTCCACAAAATTATCAAGATGAATGAATCCATGAAAATACGTACTAACATCTTTCTTCTAAATGAAGCACAAGAGGCAAGCATGAATACCTCTATGTTGCATTATGTCGAGCAGTCCTTAAATGACCCCTTCATTGACAGATAAGTTAATGGAAACAATTTTGGTAATGGACGTCTGGTGATGAATCTTTAAAAGCAAAAAACATCAAACATTTATCAGCTACAGCATTCACTCATTAAGATGGGCAGCTTTTAGGTGATTGCAATCTGCAAAAATAAAAGCAACACAAATTTAGAAATATGAGCTATGCAAACTCGGTTGCCCCTTTTTCAACATTTCCCTTAATTGTGTACGTTCTTCATGATTTGTTGCCCTCAAAATAATACTGAACTTTATCCTTAATTAAGATTGAAGATGTCGAATACTAAAGAAGAAGTTCAGTAACAAAGATGGATGACAAGAAGAATATGTTTAAGCATAACTTTGTGCATGATTTGAACTTTTCTTGAAAGATGGCGTAATCTTTTTTAATGCATCAAATCTGGCATTTTGTGAGCCATATCACTAAGATGATTTTTTTAAAATCTGCAGGCCATTAGGCTGATGCATGCTTCTGCTCTGACAGATGACTATTGTACAATTCTCTTATAACCAATAGCAGGTGTCACTTACATTTTTTTTTTATAGTTTATGGTTCAAGCCTTTCAATGCAGTTTGTTTGTTTGCCTTTAAATCCTGAGGAGTGATTTGTTAAAGCACATCATAACTGAAAGCTTCCTGTCCAGCCTGTCCAGCCTCACTTTAGTGTCAGACCATCTGTTGATGCTCAGCCCTCGGTCACCTCCACTGCTCTCTGTCTGCACCCCCCGCTCGACCTGCATGGCTGTTAATCAGGATTTATAACAAACACCAGCAGGTCACTGTAGCCCACCTGTATGAAATCATACCACATGACCTTGTTGTCCTGCTGCAGTCTCACCTTCCAGGAAAAGGTCGTCCCTATAGCTCAGAGTTTAAAAAAACCCATTTCTTATGGTATCCCTTTGGCCCGGAGAGTCAAATACCTGCTGAGATTATCACGGTTATTAATTATTTAGTGCAGAGCAGCGAGACCTCAGAGGTTGTGATGTCAATTCACTGCTTTCACTCTCTTCTGCAGTCTGAAAATGCCTCTAAGCACACAATCATAAAGCAATTCTCGGCGAGGATGATCTTTGGCCCCTGTGAATCATTCAGACACTCTGGCACTGTGCGCTGAATCTGCCCGATGTTTGGTGGTTAGCGGCGCTGAATGCATAGCCCCCTTTTTAAAATGCTGCTGTGTGTGTTTGGTTCAATATGTTGGAGTGGAATAAAGGCGGCAATTTCTCCTCATAAGTCTTGACCCCGACACAATCAGTCATTTAAGTGACATGCTGTTTCTGTGCAAGCGTTCTTGTTCTTAATGCGTCTTTTCCCCTTGGAAGGAGGAGGAGGAGGAGGAGGGGGAGGCAGGTTGGTGAACGATTGCTGCATTTCAACATGACACAGTGGAAGCAATACAAAGGAAGCAATGAAGCATGGATTCATTTTAGCAGAGGGTGGTTTTAATGCCTGCTCGTACCCCCTCACTTGTTTTTATTTACAGCTAGCAAAATAGCTTTGACTTGAATAGAACCAGGAATCTTTCACTTTCAATGTCTCATGTTCACATGTGGATTCATTCATTTACAAGCTGTAAGGTAAGTCAGTTGCAAGGTCGAGTCAAAGGCGGCATAACCAGGTTTTGAAAACCTTGGTGGCAGGAATTGAAAGTGGACGAAGGCAAGTCCCGGTGCGAACCTAAAATATGGAAGTTCGTCCGGTTGCTGGAGAGGTGCAAGGCCACTTCCCTAGTGCTTCCTATGTGCCTTTAGCAAGGCATTGAACCCCTAACAGCTCCAGATAAGATGTACGTTTGTCCTCGGGGGGGGGGGGTTGCAAACCAAAGTTCCTCACAGCAGCTTTTAGGTAGTTTTTTGGTGTATTTGAACTCTTGATTACATTTGAGTCACCAGGCTTAAATAATAAATAAAAAAAAGAAAAATACATTATAGAGTATCTACACCATGCATTTAGCCAGTTCTTCAAACTCATGGATGGTTATGTCAATACAAACATCGTTGGTTTTAATTAAAAGTGTGTTGATGGTAGGAGTAAAACCTTTCAGAAAACTCTGTTAGCTTTATTATCGAATATAATTTCATGCTACAGAGGCCTCAAATGCACCATCTGCAGTTTATTGACACTGTGAGACTTTAACTGGCTGGGCTGTAATAGCCATGGACCCTTATCAATGTGCTCTGGCCATATTACTTGTCAGGCTGGATGTGAAAACTACTGCATTGAGAGTCTGGCGGCAGGCCTGTCAGACGCTGTGATGGCTGCAGTGCTCTGCATAAATGTAGCATGACAAAGAGGGCAGACACTCTGTCAGGAGTGTTTTTTGAAAGGAGGGATGACTAAGTCAATGCTGAGATCCCCCCCCCCCCCCCATAAACAAGTGACAGAGTGCATGACTCCAGTTGAAAGTGCCTTTTTTTGGTGCACAGTAAAAGCTGGAGCCGTTCAAGGTGCTGATGTTTGCAGCTTTTTGTCTTCCTCATAATCAACTCCAGAGTAAATGTCAGGGCAGCCTGCCTGTCCAATGTAGCGCATGCATTTCCTTTAAAAGATATTGCATTGCCTTTTAAAATGAGAGGACAGGTGTATGAATAAACGTCTATGGATGTGTCGGGGTGTGTGCATGTCGTTGTGTTAAAAAGAAATAGTTGGAGGGAATGGTGTGAGGTTGAGAAAGGTAAAACACATTTTATGCAGAAGGATTTCGTTCTACATCATTGCAGATTTGAAGTACATATCAATACATTTCACCTCCTACTATTTTAAAACTTTATCCTAAATTTCCTTCTGTTACTATTACAGCTCTTATTCCATTTTGTTGTTTGTTTCTTTATTCATACTTTCATCTGAAGTTACTGATTTTATTTCCTTTAACTTCTCTTATGGCTCTCCAATTGAGTCATTTTTTTTATCTTACTGACTTTTTCTATTTTATTATTATTACTAATATCGTGATCATTTGTTTGCGTGTCTCTATTGCTCTCACTTCTCTCATTGTTTTTGCCTTTTAATTGCTGTTTTCTGTTTTTTATTGGCTTGTAGCTCGTTTAGTTCCTCTCTCTGGTCCTCTTGGTCTCAGCTCATGTTGTTGGGTTCTTATGATGGGTCTTGTTGTGTTTGGGTTAAATATTTTTTGGGGGGGGTATCTTGATGTGTCTGGTCTGTTTGCTGTTGTGTTGTCTTTTGTTTTTCTGGTTTCTATATTCTCGCTGTTGTTTGTGATCTACTGTGTTTGCTCCTCTGTGTTTGGTTTCTTTTGCTCTGTTCTTGTTCTCTTGTTTTTATGCTTCACGCTTGTTTCTATGCTGTACGTTGAAGCTCTTTATGAACCTGTGTTTTTAGAAGGTGCTAGATAAATAATGTTATTATTATTATTATTATTATTTATTCATGCTGGACCATGTGCCGATAAAGATAAAGATAAAGATAAAGATAAAGATAAACTTTCTTGATCCCCCGTGGGGGAAATTTGTGCATTACAGCAGCTCCAGAAAACAGGGGACAGGAATATAATTATTAAAAATAAAATAGAAGTTAAAATCAAATCAAACATATTTACATCAGTTAAATAAAAACTGAAATTACACAGTAACTAAGGGATTTACAGTGTGTAGCATGAGGTGGTGATGTTGTTAAACAGTCTGATTAAACAGTCTGACAGCAGATGGGATGAACGACCTGCGGTAGCGCTCTGTCTTGCAGGGTGGGTGTCTGAGTCTGCTGCTGAAGGAGCTGCTCAGGGGCCCCACAGTGTCATGCAGGGGGGTGAGAGGGGTTGTCCATGATGGATGTCAGCTTCACTAACATCCTCCTCTCACCCACCTCCTCTACAGAGTCCAGACGACAGTCCAAGACAGAACTGGGAGATGTTTTCAACTCAAGCAAGAAATTACATGCAACCTATGAGCTTTGACTTTTCCCTGAAGTCTCCAGTTTGCTTTAAAGATCTTCCATCCAAACTCCAGTAAAAAAAAAAAAAAAAAAAAAAAAAACATTTTAACATTTGTTCGCATCTCTGGTCTCGCAGGCAAACCGAACAGATTCTGAATGTTCTACTTTTAACAAATCTGCAATATGATGTATTTTTAAAAATGTGTTTACTGCAGTTATATGAAAGCAAAAATCTGTTTATTTTGTGTTCACACTGCTGTAGTGAACCAGCCACATTTGTGAAACTGCTCGTCACCAGTAACAGATGGACAGGTGCGCCGCAGCAGAAACAGAACACCAGTAAAACCCTGGCGGCAAGCTGAGCGTGACCTAGCTGACAGGTCATCAAAGATGGCACTGGTAGAAGTCGAGCAAATGGAAGAAGCGGTAAAATGAATCCAAACTCTGAATCGGTGTAATTAACTGAGCCGTGTGCACTTCAGTTGATTCTCTGAGCCCGCACATGACCGGGTTTTGGTTTTCAGACGTATCTGGAAAGGCAACTGTCTGGACAGTTGAAGAATGAGCCTTTGTTTGGGTCTTAAAACAGACTCACACACACACAGAAGGTCATTGTGTGCATTAAGTCGTCCGAGCTTCACAGAGCAGTTTTTTGGAATAAATGGTCAGTCTGTCTGGAATATATCACTGCCACCATCATCTTCAGCTTTATTTTCTTTGGCTTCTCACTTTAACTTTGCACACCGACCTCCCAGAATACGCTTTACACAGACTAGCAATTTGTTGAGTGAAAAAATGTAACAAAAGGCCATCACATGGATAACCTTTAACAAGAATGCGCTGTTTCCTGATTTATTGGCATCCTCCAAGGTCTCACTGTAGAGATTAGTGTGGCCCTTATCTGTACAAACTGTAAAGTAAAGCTGTTACTGGCTAACATGTGACGGATTCTTTGCCACTTCTCTCTCAGAGCTTTTCAAAGCATTGCGTCAGTAAAGTTCAGAGTACATTTTCTCTGATCGTGCCTCACATTTAAAAAAACCATTCCAGAGGTCTATGTCTGTCCTCATTCGTCATACCCCTTTGAAGAAGGTTATCATGGAACAGATGAGAGTAAATGTTATTTATATGGCCCCTTTACAGCAACAAAATCAAACATAAACGTGTAATAAAAACAGCAACAGATGAGTAGTTCATGGACCAACAGGATCTTTTTTTTCCTCAGAATAAAACTTGTTTACACTCTTTTTCTTACTCCCTCCCTCCCTGCTCAGTCCTTGAGTTTGGGCTGCAGCCAACCCCCCCCCCCCCCCCCCCGCCTCCTCTTTGTGGTCACAGCGTCTACGTGAATCCTCCCGACTTCAACTTTCATTGAACTCTGTAGAAAACTCAGCAAACCGCCGTGAATGTGACCTGCCTTTGGGTGACTAGCAGCAGTGTAGCAGAAGTGGTAAGTGGTTAAACGAGAACATAAGGGTCAGTGCGTGAGTAGCCAGTAAATCAGTTATTCATTCTGCATGTTATTTAGCGCCGTTCCTGCAGGGCACAATCAATCTGACAGCTGAATGATGGTACATTGTTAATCCCGAAGGCTTCATTATGGCGCCTGATGTACTTCTTTCATATTTGATACAGCCAAGGCATTTATCCAAAGCTTTTTATCCTTAAATCCTCCATAATGAGTTCAATAACCTTGATCTACACAAATTCAAGGGTGGAGATGTATTGCAATCAAAGTAGTGCTGATAGCTTCCTTTTTCAAAAGGCTCAGTGAATGTAAAAGAATGTATGTAAAGAAGATTTTATCAGATTCAAAGCTTGTCTGCAGGAACGTGATGCTAAAACATTCCCCGGCATTTCAAAGGAGTCTTTTTTTTTTTTTAAATTGAACCGACTGAAGGATGGGAAAGTCATGGCCGTACCTGAGTGGAATTTTTCAATTTGGCCGTCAAGACAAGGCTTCAAGTATTTCTTCTATTTAGGTTCAGTGCCACATTATTCTGCTTTTATGTAAACCTGCATGTTTTAGCTATTAAATATGCATTTGTGTGTTTTTCAGAGCTGCAAGATGCTCACGATCCGTCAGAGGCATCATGCCCATTCAAACAAGTTTTTAAATTATCCGACATGACTTTTTTTAGTATTGATAGATAATATTTCAAGTATGCGAGAGATCTGATTCAAAAAAGAAAGTTATGAAAAACTAAGCAATTCGGATGTGAGGAATTTTGCATGATTCAACTGAGGTTGACTGATGGAGAAATAACACCCAGTTCGCCTTTGCTTATAAATGTTTCAAAATGCAGAAAATGCAGAAAATGGCATAATTCTTTCAATTTTTCTACGAAGGTCCCCTTGACCCAACTCTTATTTAGTCCCACCAAACGTTTGGCTTGCATGACTTCCCCGTATACCAGCATGATACGGGACCAGGATAAAGATAATATCATGATACAACGATTCTGCCATCATTGATTAATTGTAAGACAGTATGATTATGCACCATGATATCTGATTAACTGAAGAATACAAAATGTTCCTACAAAGGCCATACGCTGGATTAAAAACATGTATTCAACAATTTGGAGTCCACATCATGCTTAATCTCTTAACGTCATGTTACCTAGCTGCCCCACATTATCCTACTGTCATGTCAGGAGTGCCACCCTTAGGAGTCATGAGGAGATGAAACGATGAAATCTGTGTGTGTCATGTGTGAAAATTGAAATATCAATATTTGGATCCGGCATTTTCAGTCAAGTATCACACGACTCACACTGACATTACATTTCTGTGTTTATATTTTTGCCAACCCTAGTTAAACCTGTGAAGGGGGAAAAATAGCGTTAAGCTGCCGCTCCTGAATTTCTTTGTGTGAAATTGTTGTGCTTAATATGAAAAAAAAAAAACGAGTCGATCCTGGATGCAGACTGATGATTTGAATAGTCTACTTTAGGTGCTTGGACACTCCTTATAGTGAAAAACAACGGCAGACTGTATTAAATTATTCTCTACTTACTTCGATGATTTGATTTTTTTTGGCGGTCTAGCCCATGTTAAGCAATCACTGTGTTGCAGAAAACCAGAGAAACCTACACTGGATTATATTTCTGAGAGCGAAGAACAATCGAGTTAGAGAGCAGTGCTTGAAAAAGAGAATGAAATATTACCCAGAGAGGAAAGGAGCAGGAGAAAGAAAAGATGCGATTCAGTGGAGAGAGAGAGAGAGAGAGAGTGACATGATAAAAAATCTTCTCCCTGTTACAGAAGACAGAATGAGACTTCAAGTTTGATTGGAGTTGGAAGGTCATTTCGCCACGGTGGAGAGTCGAGGCTCACGAGTGATGACCAGCAGTCATTTGCGGGGAACATGTAGCGATGGGACTATCAGCTGTGGCTGCTCTGTGGCCTGGACTCACAGACCTCTTCACGGCCTCTGCAGTCAGAAACCAGCAGTGTTGTGAATTAGAAATGAGCAGCCGTGGGGGTAGCCATCAGAGGGAGTTTGGGAGAAAATGATGTGGGAGAAATCAGGGAGGGCTGAAGATGGAAACAGCAAAGTTTTGGGTCACTTGTAGGGCATGGAAACCAGCGAGGAGCAGATTCCAAGACTTAAAGAAAGCTTAAACAGGGAGGGTCTTGTAAAGGAGGGCCTAACTTTGACCAATTCAGATGTCAAAGACACATAAAAGGACAATAAAGAGTCTCATCTTGTATTGTATGTTTCTGCATCGTATCGTATCATCATTTGTCCAAACAGAATTAGGGTTCACGCCAAATTAGTCCATTTGGAGAGTAAAAGAGGTTAAACCCCTAACCCTAACACCTAATTCCATAACCAATCCTTTTTGCATTTTCAGTTTCCTGTAATCTCCACAACGACCAGCACAACATAGCATAAAAGATATCACTCATCCGTTACTTAGACATCTTCTAGCTTCAGAGGCAGACCCCGAAATGTTGCCATAGGAGGATAAACCGTCATCAGCTGACTGAGAAGTGGAATCAAAAGTAATGGTTCCCTGGCAAAAACAAAACACTTTTTTTCTGTGTTTTCTTCTCATCACTTTCATAAAAAAAAGAGGCTAAGAGTTGAATTCTTAGAAACTCCAGTGGTGATGTCCCTCCACACAAATGAGCATTCACCTCTGCCGTCCTGATACGTGTGACTGTGGGGTGGCAGGACGCGACGATCGCTTAGTCAGCAAAGATGGCAAAAACGATCTGCTTGACGTTGTCAGAGGCGATTTTAAAGAATGCGCGAGTCACGGCTAAGATCACAGGGAGGATGAAGTGGAGGAGAAAGCTGTGCGTAGCCCCAAAAAAAAAATCCAACATTTTCCTTGGAAGACGCATTGCATGAGCTCAAAGTCACTTTCAAGAGTGTGAAGAGAAGTTCTGAGCCGTAGTTTAAAGTAGAAAACCCTATGACCCAGTTTTCACAACAGAGGAGTTTGACTTAGCAAAACACTGAAAACATCAGTTCTTTGGAAAAAAAAAAAAAAAAACACATCTTGAAAATAATGTTTTAAATTGCATATTTTTGCCCTTATTTTGTATTGTGCTTTCTGTTGTTAAATAAAGGAATGCACGAATGTACAGAGGCTATTGTCCTCCAAGCGGGCGGCATATCCGACCTGTGGATCCTTTCCAGATTTTCATTCCCACTCTCTCCAGAATACATCCTTAAAAAAACAAGAATCACCGCTCTCTCTTTTAACCGGGACCTTAATTCTATAACTAATAATTTTCTTCCTTTTTGTGTACTATCATGCTCTGGAGTGGCCTCCTTAAATCCTTTGTTGACCATTCCTGTGAGAAAAAAGTTTAAAGTTTTATAAACAGACTCTGTTCTCTTTGCAGGTTGCGCTCATTATTCCTGGCAGGCGAGCGTTGCGATGTGGAGACGCTGGACTGGGCGAAGAGGAGCTTTGGGGTTCCTGTCCTGGATCACTGGTGGCAGACTGGTAGGAAGATTTCCACTTTCTACAGAGAGAAATCCCATAGCGTCTGATAACGAAAGCCATGTTAAATATTGTTTTTTAAACCTTGCTTATGCCCAGCTGAACTCAAAAGATTTTCATGTTGGATACAGAGTGCACCTGTCTTATTTGATTTCACGCAATGCCGCGTCTCCCCTCCAAAGTTACATAACTGACAGGAGGTACCAAAGGGACTCATGTAAACAAAATGCAAACTGACTCCTGAGATATCACCAACAATATGTTCGGTTCTCTCGCTTCTTTGTCTCTTTGTTTTAAAAGCATCATAACAGCTTAACCCAGCGTACAGAGGTAGAAGCTCAGCTGCACAGGATTTCTGGTAGTTGAAGTTAAAAACTGCACAGGAATGCATCCCCCTATCATCCGCTATGTGTGAAGTTGCCTTTTTGCACTTCTGATTATCTCATCTAAGAAGCTTGAAAATCACATTATCCTCAAACTTCAAGGATTAAGCTCTTATGATATGGATACTGGGAAAGCTTTTCAAGGACCTCAAGTGCTTTATTAGCCTGAAGTGTATATGATTTTTATTTTATTTAACTTGATCTTTACGACTCGCTCTCTCGGGCTCTAGCTTATCAGTGTGGGAAGACTATAAAAGTGCTATATTTAGAGCATTAAGTATAACTTGACCTTGTGATGCGGCGTGACTCCACTACTTCCCAAAAGCCTTTTGTCATTATGGAGCACTTTTTTATCATCTTTCCTGCTTGATTAATTACTTCTATGTTTAGTACCATACACCGGGGGGATTCGTCTCTCCACTGGAGTAATTATGACGTTAAAGACCAACGTTTTAATTTCTTACCGAGTTTCTCAGGGATCGTGAAGTGCCATAATTCTCAGCAGCTATTTAAATCTTAATAAGATAGGGATGTGTGGATGAGCAAGCAATTTAAAGCAGTCCCAGTGAGAATGGTTATGGTGCAAAAAAAAAAAAAGTTCCAATTTGGCCAATTTTTGACATGCAGTGAAGCCACTTAATATCCAGAGTGCAGAGCCACCACAGTTCCCTCACCTCAAAGTCAGACATAATCAGGTGGGGGGGGGAAAAACCCACAGAGAGCCTTTAAACAAGAGGTTTGATTGGCATTGCCTTCCGAAAGAGTTCACTGATGTTTAATTGATTTGCGCCCATGTGGGACGCTGAGTGACTGGCCGAGATAGATGTGAGGACTATGTTTTTTGCTTTGCAACCAGATAAAGGGGGAAAAAACAATCACTGGTGCCTCTATATACACCTTGTCCATCATTTCGGACAGTGAAATTGCCTCCTATGAAGCATTTTTTAAACCATAGTACTTAAGAAACTAATCAACGATAAGCTATTGATTTCTGCTTTAACGTTCTAACAGTAATTTAATGTTAGCAGCCTTTCCCTTTTACTCTTTAATATTCCTTTTACATAGTCAATATGTCAGTGCTGCTTTGCACCAGTGCTCTTTAAATTAATGTCATCCAGAGGTTGTTCCGTTTTAATTTTTAAAGGCCTGCTGGGTCATACTCCTTAACTTGTTGACAGTGTTAAATGGTTACCTTGAAGTCATGTAATCACACTTTTCTTCACCGCTCTGCCTTTTCTTTATGGTTGTTATAGGTCGTGATGACAAGATATGTTATCAGGAATTTCAGGGGGCTGTGTTGCTCAAGTCATACCAATAGACTGTATTACAATCAGGAGAGAAGCAAGTAATAGTGCAATTATTTATTTAACATTTGGCACAATGGCGAGTCCTTTGCTT